ACTCGAAATTAGAAAATTGCAACCAGAAAAATATTTGATGTGTATTCGCGATATTTATAATGACGAGGGATTTGATTTAAATCATATCAAAGACGGAGTACATCGAGATGAAATACTACATTTAGTAAGGAACTAAAAGCCGAATAAAATAAAAACATCTGCCCTGAAGATAAGGATAGTGCTGACAGATCAACTTCCAGTTCATTGCGCGCCGTGTCTTCGAGCGCAGCTCAAAGATAACATTGTGTCATTCTTCCATAGGAAACTTTGAAAAATAAGCATGGGTTTCAGATTTTGAATTTTTCACAGAAGTTCTTTGCCACAAAAACAACTTATATATCAAGATGCAAGGGGGGAAAAATCTATCTATTGCCAATATCTCTGCCAAATTTAAAACTAGATCTCTTTGTTTTCAAGCTAGCTAAGACATTGCATTTCCGATATTAAATGCAGTACTCTCGGTTAATGAAGACAAGTTTAACAGGTATGAAGATGGTCCGAGAAAACTGCATTCTGAGTTTGAACACAGATTTCAATGCCATTCAAACATAATTGGGTATTTTCACCTTGCATTTCAATGTGAATTATGAAGCAGTGATGCCGAATTTGCAGCTTGAATTAACTGAGTTACAATCTAACAATTGCAGGGGTGTTTGTGGGACCCCAAAAAATCCCCTGAAACTTTTACGGACTTACTACCGACATTTTGGAGTTTCGAGAAGGGGGGGGGAGAAATGAAAAATTACAATTATGAAGCATTGAATGACCTAATTATAAAAGTTCAATGAATTACTTTTTTTGCAAAATTAATAACCATAAATTTTCAAACATATAAACTACTACATTTTATGTAAATATATTTTAAATTACCTGAATTAATTCTTAAAAAAATTATCTAATTTCTGCTGCTTTTTTTTTTTATTTTCTGATGTTTGTGGGCTTTTCTTCTCTTTGTGGTGAACTTCAAATTGGAGGAAGGTTGACTTTTATTTTCCTCATTTACAGTGAAGAAGAAATTTCCTCGAGAACTGCACATGCAGAGGTAGAAGCAGTTTGCTTTTCTGCTAATGTAGAAGGTTTTCAGAGACTTTTATAGGTGACTCATCTGAAATACATGTTTTTAAGTCCTCTTGATATGTTTTCCACTTCTGTTCATATTCAGTAAGAGATCTTGTGAATTGGCTCAGTCATTGGATTTTTTGAGCCATATTTTTCACATTAGGTTTCTTTAGAAGCCATTAAATCATATTTAATAGTCTCCACTGCATCTAGGGAATCAATCTTAAGAGAGGTTCTTATAGTCAGTGACAAGTGTATCCATTAAGTTGAATGCACTTTCCACTAATGGGCCATGGAAGCAGCTAAGGCAGGCTTTGACCAATTTAGCCAATGTAGGATACTTATAATCATTTGTGAAATCATCTTTTAAAATTAAAAACTTTAGACCAATATTTATCAATTGTACACTTGACTTGATTTCCACTTTCATCAGATGTGTAGAGCATTTCTTTGGTGATATCAATATCACTCTGGTATAACCTTATTTCAGCTTCTACTTTTGATTCATTATCACTAAAAATACGGGACATAAAAGATGATAATTTTTCAAAAGCTAATATTGTACTGGTTTTACCTCTTAGCTCTGGATCTAATGCTGTAAAAACTAATTAGATATGAATTTTTAAGGGGTAATTTCTGTTTCATATGCTGTGCTGTATTAGTATAAGCTTTCATCAGAGAAATTTGGAATTCTTTGCTATTGGATGATTTTTTGATAATTTCTTCAGGAGAGTGGAAGCTTCTGCACCAGTAAATATTACTTTGATAGGTAGATGGAATTCTGGATTTGTGACATCAACCTTTAATAAATCATTATAAGATGTGCAGTCTTATTTTTCTGGCTTCATAAAAAACAGAAAAAATTTTGCCGTCAATTTACAAATACTGGAATGTATTAAAATGAAGCATTGTTTTTTTGTTTCAAATAATTTAATATATGTGTTGAACTCTGGTAATACTGCTGAATATAATGCCATATGCAATAAAGTTTTTTTTATTTTGCATAATAAATAACCCATTTAGTATTCTTTTTTCCGAGCTAAAGCATCCTTTATGAGTTGTTGGGAATGCAAGCAAGAATACACCCCTTCAACAATTTTTTTCTGAGCTGCAGAAATATTCTTTTATTGTATACAGTTTCAACATAAGAAAAATAATCCCCTTTATCAGTTTATCCAAGTAGTGAAAATAAAATGCAATAAGAGCATCCACAGATCTTTGATTCTTTCTAAAACACATAAAATGTACACCCACCTATGGTCTGGTCTCTTCAAGGGCTTAAGTTTTTAATGGCAAGGGATTCACAGATTTTGAAAAAATTTTTCTCTTTTACTACAGCTTTTCATATCAAAATAGATGTCATCAAACAAATCTTCTAAGTATCTAACAAATCATGAAGCAAATTTTTTTGCAAGTTATTAGCTGTGTGACATGGTCACCATCAATATCTAATAAGTGAGGTGCTTGTTTGATCGTAGTCTGGTTTCAAACACCCTTTTTTTTTTCCATGCATTTGTTACACGAGTCCATTAATACACTAATTAAGTTGCCCATGGAATATTATTATCTTCAATAGTATTAACAACTGCTTTAAAAACAGCTTCGAATTGCAAGATTCCATCTTTAGAGATGCAAATGATGAACTACAAACTTCATTTTGATTGTTGTCATATAAAACTGCACCAATATTGCCAGTATACTTTCTTGAGCATTGCTAGTACTTTCATCCAAATTAGAGAAAATGGGAGTCTCCTTTAAGTTTTAATGATATTTTCCTTAATAGTTTTTGCGAGAGCCCATATTTCATCTTATAACTGCAGTAGTCCTGGACATTTCCAACGAGTTTAGTGCCGTCTGATCGCAGCTCAACTGCTTGCAGAGTTCAATTAAATTGGGAGCTACATTGAAAGAAAGAGAATTCTCGGTGATAGACGAAGTTATTAATACCTCTTGGCGTGCTTTTTTTGTCACTATATCCAATGGCCGATCATCAGTCTCCATCATCAGTCATCAGTCCAAGTCATCAGTATTTTTTGAATTAGCATAATTACTTAAAAGTCATTGAATGTTTAATGCACTTTGAATATTTTATGTGCGTCACAGTTTTAGAATGATTTGTGAAAGCCTTGAATCCTTCCCACATACTTCAGCAGTGATTAGTGAGTACAAAAAACACAATATGCTTGTCCAGCAACATTATTTTCTTGCACCATGTGCCAATGGTATCCCCATTACCATCTCTCCGTTCAATCAATTCCACCTAAATGCATTACGGACACCTTCTTCTAATTGTATAATATCACTATTTATATCGAGAAATTTCATAGTGAAATTCTCTTGCGTACATTAAATAAAAAATTTTGAATAAACGAAACAAAAAAATTACACGTGCATCAATAAATGAAACAAAAATTTTACACAGCGAAGAAAAAAAAGTTTGAGAAAGCGATCAATGACAAAAAAGCTAATAGGCGAAAAATCCCCCTTCTCTACTTATTGCGCCCACGCCAGGAAAGATAGGACCTTTGAACCCAAGTCACGTGATCGCAAATCTGGTCGAACGAAGTCTCTCCCTTTTTTTTCTGCGCACCACTTGCCGAAAAGAATCCAGAAGAGAAGTCTGAGAACCGGGGAATGAGTCATAACTCGCAAAAGGAAAGAACAAAAAAAGTTTTTCCTCCCTTTTCACGCATTATCACTGCCTTTGGAGAAAGAAAGTTTTCACCCACACCTGACCTTGCGTTTTCTGCTTTCAAAGCAAACAAATTTACCCAGATCAAAATAAATAATTCATTATTAATTCTACTTCCTTTTGAACGACGATCCCCGGAATTTCTGGGTATTGAAGTTCAAAATCCCCGGAATTCTGGGGTTTTCCCGGAGAACAAACACCCCTGCAATTGTCTCAAGCAGCGGCTTCTCAGTTTTCCAAAACTGATTTTTTACAAATCATTACTGAAAGCAAGCTTCCCAAATTTAGTATCTCATGCCCAGAAAATTAGTGCTACGTTTGCTTCATCATATGTATGTGAAGAAGTGTTTTCTACTATGAACCCAAGGAAGAAGGCTCTTGGTAGTTCTATTAGGAATACACTGACAGATGAGCATTTAGCATCATTTCTCAGAATTAGTGCATCTTAGTTTGAACTTTAAAATATATAATAATAATATTTAAATAATTTTTAAAAATGCAGTTGCAGTTTTATTCCTTACATTAATATTTGTATATTTTTTTAAAATTTTAGAATAAATTTTATTGCCCATTAATTTTTTTTTTCTCTTGCTTTTTGGCCCATTCTTAAAGAAGTTTGTCCACCACTGGTATAGAAAGAATATTGAGACACAGGTAACAACATCTAAAATTTTGATATATGTTAATACTCTTTAGAAACAACTAATATAATAAATATTTTGGCACATTTAGGTACAAGTAGTATTAACAGGTATCAAAACTTGAGATACCATAAAATTAATCTAAATTCCAGCTTATTTCTCCCATTCCAAATAGTGACAGGACCATGGAAGGACAAGGACGGCCACAAAAATAAATAAATTAAAAAATAAAGGGTTTCTATTAAATACTGCTGCTACAATTATGATGTGATAATATTATAGTATCACACAGAAATAACTGAAAACAAAAAGTACTAGCAGAAGAAAAGCTAAACTATGATAAAAGGTTTCTGAAGAGAAGCATGTTGCTAAAATTTACTTTTTTACATATATTTAACATGATAAATAAAAACTATCTGCTATACTGTAAATGAGCTCCGGGTTATAACTGTTATTCTCACGAAGGCACGGCTAAGTTTAAGAATCAGTCCAAACAATGCTCTGATATGTAAATTATTTTGCAATTTCAGCAAATAACAGTCATTTTAAGGGGGAAAAAAAAAAAAAAAAAAAAAAAAAAAGAATTTATTAAATAAAAAAATTCTAAGTACTACATATAAAATACACTTTATTCACATTTTTCATATTTAAGGTGCTGAGCTGGGTGGAGGAGGCGGTGGTGGAGGCATTGGTGGTCTCACACCTCTTGGCACTGGAGGTGGGGGCATTGGTCCAGGAGGTGGTGGAGCAGGTGGCATGTTACCTCTACCGGGAAATGGAGGAGGAGGACCTAAAATGGCAATTGCAGTAATATAGAGAATTATGTAAAAAACTTTCAAATATTAATTAAAGATCACACACACACACACACAGATATATATATATACTATACGAAATAAAAGGACTTGGTACCAAAGCAATATTGATGGTGTAGAACGTAGAAGGTTGAATCCATGATAAAGAGAAAGAATTTTGATGGTGTAGAATGCTGAAATTCCGATCCATAATGAACAGGAAACTGCCAGCCATGGCAGATTAAATCTTCATTTTATTTCAGTAACCATGTTGCAGCCACAAATAACTTGCACATTATTAGTGCCTATTTCAAAATGTTTACATTTTGACAGCTTTACAGTAAGAATAGCAGGTAACAGTTGAGTTAAGCCAAAACATAGAAAGCAAGCGAGTGTGTTATCTTCAGGACAAAAATCTTAATTCAGTCTGAGTTATTTTTGGTTCTAAATGCATTTTGATTGGATAATTAATACTACTATAAAATTATTAATCGGCTGTTTGAGTTTTAGTTCCATTTACATCATCAGAATTACGTAAGAGTCATATGACATGGATTAGTCTTGAAATGACACAGTGCAAAGAGAGATTACTATTTTTAGAAGAGAGAAGGGAAATTAATTTAAACCGCTACTTTAAATTATAATTTATCCTTTATATATTCTTTATTTTTCTTATGCACACACACATATATATGTAAGATAAAAAAATGCAAATCAAAATTATAATTTAAAATGCATCTTAATTGTTCATTTTTAATTTGGGTACTTTGTCTGTAGTAATAACTTTCTCTAAACTGTGTCATATCTGAAAACATATTCCGCATTATGTCATCTTGAAACTACTGCATTGCCTATAAGTTTTAGCAAATCAGATTAATGAAAACTTTTACTATAAATATTGTTGCAATCCTACCCCACCCTCTTTCTCTGCCTATGCTTGCTGGCTGAAGGACGTTTCTTGCTTTGCTGCTTTTGTTTAAAATGTAATGCACCATCATCAAAATTGTGGGGTGCAGATTGGCCCCTATTGTTTAGTGCTACAAGTAATAAAGGTATATTTGGAATATTAAGTGATTTTCGTGATTCTTCAAAAGTTCCCAACTGTCAAACTAAATTTTATCTTTATATATATATCTGTGTATTGCTTATTGCATTCAAACGAGAATGCTGTACAGACAATTGACATTAAAAGGTTTGAATGTAAAAGCATAAAAACATGACATTACTACCTGAATATTACAGAATAAAAATAAAAACCTGTATACTTTAATTTTTTATTTATCAGTACAATGAAATGTGATTACAATAGAAAAAGCTTTGAAATGGTAACATAACTAGAGTTTTATCATGACCGCATACATGGACCTTGCAGACTCTGTCGGTTGTATGGAATGAATACTTAATTTGAAACTCAATAATTCTAAGTATTATATTTTCTGAAGCTTCAGTAATTATATCTAATTGAGAAATATTAGAATCTTCCCAGTTCATGGAAGAATTAGACAAGACAGAGGAATGTGACTATCTCCAGCAGTGTTCTATGCTGCATAATCATAAGAAAATGTACTTATTCATAAAAGCTAATAGTTTATATAATATTATAATTTTACCTTAACGAAAACAGAGCAATTTTTTTAAATGGATGCTTAATAAAATTAACATATATCATAACTACTTTTTACCTCATAAAACTTTTTTTTTTCACGGTTATTTTGAACAGTTTTCAAATTTGTGTTTCTATGTTTTCAATGAAATTGAATATTCAAATAATGATGTTTAATGAGCATTACACCCAGTTCTAATGAAAACGTACATCATGTCACAATGGCAGAATTAAAAGCAATACCTATATACCAAACTTACTTGCATAGTTAGAAACATGATCTCTAAAATAAAATATAAATTATCACATTTTAAAGAAATGCTGCAATTATGCATGGGAAAGCACATTTCAGGAACAGTTTTAGAAAAATTCTGCAAATATATTTTGTTAATAGTAATTTTAGATTTCCCTTATTACGTTCACATCACTTTTTCCCCCTTTAATTAATGTTGAGATATTTGTAATGGCATTTTTATTAGTTAAAAAGAATTACAGCTTTCTGTCACATCTGTTAACCCTATTTTTTTTGTTTATATTTTCTTTATGTTATTTTTGATTGGTTGTTTTCTGAATCCTGTTTGTGATTCATTAAACCATGATCTGCTGTAAAGCTATGCATATTAACCTCTGTAAACCTTTTCGCTGTGTGTGTATATTTCTTCTTTTTGCTTGTAATAAATTTTGTTAGAAAGCGCTAATCTTTTTTTTTTTTTTTTCCATCTAACTTTCTATGCAAGTGTCATATGTTATCATTCACATGAGTTTGATTTTTGTTTTGGCTTTCCGTGAATGATGGCTTCTTCAAGTGGAAGTGAAAAAGAAGTTTTTGGTGTTGTACCATTTAATGGTGTTAATAACTTTACTGTTTTGGGTCAAAGGTTTCAAGCAGTATTTACTGCAAAGGAATTGGATACATTTTTAGAAACAGAAGCAAGTGCAAGCAAGACTGCAGATGTTTTGAAATCAAAAAAGGCTTATGCCTTAATTCTTGCGCTTTTAAGTGATAATATTCTTGCTTCTCTTCAAAGTGAAGACACAAATATAGAAGAAACTGCAAGCTACTTATAGTGCTGAAGGAGCAGCGAGTATGTTTGGCTACCATAAGAAAATCTAAAGATGTGTCAAAGATACAACATAATGAACTTGGTTAGTAATCTGCACATCTCTGGATCTGAAGTAAGTGACTTTGATTTTATTATTTACATTTCAATGTCATTGCCAAAGGAATATGAAAATGTTAAGGCATCACTAGAAAATCAACCAAGTGATAATTTGGGTTTGGATTTTTGTTAAAAACATATTGATTCTGAATCCCTTATATTCGATTACAAAAGTGAAAATAAGTATTCTAATCCAAATATGGACAACTCTGTTTTTATTAGTGCTCGTAAAGAACTGTTTTGTATTTATTGTAAAAGAAAAGAACATTCTGTTAAATTCTGTAGGAAAAAGAAACTGCGTTTGTCATAGCTGTGAGAAAACTGGTCATTTCAAAAGTGAATGTTTTGAAAATCCTAAAAAGCAGACAAATTCAAAATACGTATGCATTCCCTGCAATATCTTTTAGGGCTGGAAATCTTGTGCATGATCAATTTATTATTGATTCTGGCACAACTTCTCGCATGTCCTTTAACAAGGAATGGTTTACCTCAAGCGTAAGACTGGAACTGTTAAATGTGTGTCTAAAATCAGCGGTTTTAGAAATAGAAGGCATTGGTGACATTTGTGGCAAAACTAAGAATGGTGTTGAAATAATGTTAAAAGATGTTCTTTACGTTACAAAATTAAATGGATAATTAATTTCTGTCAAAAATATTGAAGCAGCAAGTTTGAGCATAATTCTAAAAATGAAATAGTTTACAATGAAAACAAAAACAAATATCTCAGAGTTGGATATTTGGACAAATGCGGGCAATATTTTAGTGATTTTTCACCAAATTTATACACAGCTTTAGCAATAAAGAATGATGATTTATGGCACAGAAGATTAGGATACTGTTGTGATCAAAAATTAAAACTAATGAATCTTCTTGCAAATGGGTTCTACATAAAAAATGAGATGGAACTTATAAAGCCAGTCTTGTTGCTCATGGCTTCAGGCAAAAAGAAGGCATAGAATATACAGGCACATTTTCTCCAGTAATTAGTATGTACTCTGTACGGTTAATCCTGGTAATAATCAATAATGAAGGTTTACAAACTTTTAATTTAGATGTCAAGACAGCTTCCTTGAATGGTAAGCTAGATGAAACCATCTACATGGACCAGCCCAAAGGATATGATGATATGAGTGGTAAGAAATGTAAACGTAAAAAAAGTTTATATGGTCTTAAACATTTTCCTCGACAATGGTATCAGAAATTTCTTAATTTTGTTATTAAATTAGATTTTAAGCAATTGGACTCTGAACCACGTACTTTCATAAGAAATCTAAATTGTAAGAAAGTATTTATGGCTCTTTATGTGAATGACTTATCAATTGCAGGTTCGGATGTAAAAGAAACAAGTATTATAATATCATTGTTATCTAAAGAATTTCAGACGTCAAAATCTGAAAGTGTCTCAGAATTTTTAGGCATTAGACTGAAGTTTGAGTTCAATTGTTTATATTTAGATCAGAAACCATATATTCAAAAACTACTTGATAAATTTAAAATGTCTGATTGTAAAACTGCCCCAACTCCCATTGAACCAAAACCTACAGCAGCTTTTCAGAAAGGAAATGCATTTCATGGCCCATACAAAGAATTAATTGAATACTTACTTTACTTAGCATATATTACAAGGCCAGATATTTTATTTGCAGTAAATTGTTTAACTGCAGGAGCATCCTAGTGATGTTTCCTGGTGTGCTCTAAAGAGAATTCTTAGGTACTTGAAAAACACCTTAAATTTAAAATTGATATACAAAAAGGGTGATTTAGAAAGGGCAAACTTATGTTTGTACGTAGATGCAGATTGGGGGGGGGGAGATACTCAAGATAGAAAATCAATTACTGGTTACTTTATAACATTTTCAAACTGTCCTATTATGTGGTGCTGAAACAAGCAAAAATGTATTGCACTTTCATCAACAGAAACTGAAATAATTGCTTTATGTAAAGGTATTCAAGATGTTTTATGGATAAAAAATGTAGTAAATGAAATTTCCAGTGTTAAAAATGTTTATATTTTTTAAGATAACCAGTCATGTATTAAAAGTATTGTTAATGAAAACTTTTTTGGTAGATTGAAACATGTAGATATAAAATTAAAGTTCACTCGAAGATTGTTAAAGAAAATAATATTAAAATTGAATATGTGCAATCAAGTTTACAAATTGCAGATATGTTAACTAAGGCTCTCTCCAAAACAAAATTCTATGAACTATTGTCATTGAGCTGTTTAAAAATTGTGCAATTCTTCTATCTTTTCTATAAAGTGCGATTAAGGGAGAGTGTTGAGATATTTGTAATCACATTTTTATTGGTTAAAAAGAATTATAGCTTTCTGTCACGTCAGATGCATTCTGAAACTTAATCCTGTTTTATTTGTTTATATTTTTTTATGTTATTTCTGATTGGTTGTTTTCTGGTCTTGTTTGTGATTCGTTAAACCATGACCTGCTGCTGTAAAGTTATATATATAACCTTTGTAAATCTTTTCGCCATGTGTGTGTGTATTTCTTCTTTTGACTGTTATGCATGTGAATAAATTTTAAATTTTGTTTAATTAATAAATTTTGTGTAATAAATTTTGTTTTTCGAACCACAGCATTTTAAATGTTCAACAATTAATATGTTCATAATCTTTCACATCAAATTCACATGCATAACAGTCAAAATGGTAATTTCACATATAATTTTACCTTTACAAGCTTGTCTGAAAATTATCCCATTAATTTTCTTCTGTTTCATTCCCAATTGCTCTAAAAATTATTTGCAACATACACCTGAAATGTTGAGCACAGCAAATAAGGTCTAATTTAGCCATCTTGCAAGTTTTAGTTGCTTTGCAGGATATAATTTCAGAATAGTATTTCTATGTTGATAGGTTATTAGAAATTAGATACTCTATCGCTTATAAAGCTTAATACGAAGCTTCCATAAATTTAACAGTATGTATTGGTTGAAACCACTATACAAAATTCTCACAGTTTCTCACCTGGTGGTTAGGTCTTTTCCTGCCACCCAAATGTTAATAAATTGGTTTCCCTCATAACTTAATTCCCCTTTCTTACTGAGTTTTGATCATAAAATCTTAAATACTCAGATATTTTATGATAAAATTCAGAATCATTTCAGATTCAATATCAGCTAAAATATTTCCATTTAGTGCCCATTTTAACCCACAGTTCTACAATTAACCGATTAGCATGATGAACATTTATTACATTTAAGAATCCTACGACAGCTTTGACTTCAGTTACATTAGTTAAAAATGCATCTTTATTTTCAACATGCAAAATTTTTAATTTCTATCTTTATGTTTTGATACTGAGCAATCTGGATAAAACAGACACATCAAAAAACATTTATAGTCTTTTATGTAATATCAAAATTTCTTGACTCTCCACACATGGCTTTCATTCTTTTTAAAGCTCTTTCTCTTCGGGCCAGAATTAAATATTTATTTATTTATCCTCCTGAAAGTGGTATAATATTTATCTCCACAGTTATACTTATTTTTTTTGCATACACTCAGCTCCAAATGATAATCAGCTTCCCCACTAATCTTCAAAGTAATCACCATCGGCTTACAGTACCTTTTGCCAACCAGTGGCTAGCTGTGCAATGCCATTGCAGTAAAACTAAGGGTTCTTAGATGCAAAGAAATCCGTGAGGGCCTTTTCGAGGTCTGGCCGGTTGTTGAAGGAATTCCCACGAAGATGGCTGTCCAGGGACTGCAAAAGGTGGTAGTCTGCTGGTGCAAGATATGGGAAATATGGTGGATGGAGTAGTGTCTCCCAGCCCAGTTGCTGGATGGTGTGCCTTGCCTCCCAAACCACATGTGGCCTCACATTGTCATGGAGGACACCTTTATGGTTGACCAATTGTGGTTCTTTATGCATCAGTGCCCTATACACACATTCCAACTGCTGCGAGTACAGGCCTGCCATCATGGTTTGGCCCACTGGCAGGAGCTCATAGTGCACCACTTGGAAACTAGTCCACCAGATACAGAGCATGATATTGCGCGGGTGGAGAGAAGGTCTCGCAGCGTAAGGCACAAGGACATGTGGTGACAACCAATGTCTGGAACACCTGGGTGTGTCATACTGGACCCACTTTTTATCGCTGGTGAGTACTCGATCAAATACGGATATACTGTTGTGGCGAATAAGCAATGACAAACAGGCAGTGACACGCTGTTGCTTGTTTGTATTGGACAGTGAGTTGGGTACCCACTTGCTCAGCCTGCATGCCTTTCCTATGCGGTGCGAATGGAGTCCGATCATTCCATCAGATACCTGGAAGTGTGCAGCAAGCTCACCACATGTTTGGCTACTATCACTCACTATAACTGCTCTCAGGGCCTCATTGTCCAGCGCTTGTGGCCGACTGCTGCGTGGTGCATCACTAAGAGACATACCCTCTGACCTGAACTTCTGGAAAAATTGCTTAGTGGTTCGTTTGTTAACGACATCATCCCAAAAAAACCTGGCATATTCAGCGACTTGATTCTGAAGCTGACCGGCCCACTTTAAAATCATACAGCAAATAACGCCAAATGAGCATTTTTGACAGGTCCGTTTCAATCAGTCATTGTGTGAGTTATGTTTGAAGTACTGATGCAATGTACTTTTATACTGTATGGTCAATGTTCGGACTCCCATCCTAACCACTTCATTGCCAAGTTTGGCGACTATTTTTATGCTGGAGTTCACTTTTCCAATGTCATATCAGAAATGGCAAGCACTTTCTTGGTTACCTTGTATTTCCATTATCTTCTTCTTTATCATTAAAAAGAATTAAGTATACTAAATCTGAATTACCAGCATTATTTAAATAAGTTTATGTTTAGAAGAAAAAACTATAAAAATTTTAGACAGCAAAATTCCACAAACTTATATGACTAGATGTAGTGAATATGACATACGACTGCAAAAGAGTGGGAAAAAACGTGAAGTTAATAAATCAAAATCACCAAATTATGTTAAAATGGTTGCTCGCAACCAAAAACTGATATTTAAAATAAAACTTACATGTGTAGGTATGGTATGATAACAGATGAAGAAAATCATTTATCCCATAGTCAATAAACCATTCTTTCTACAAGGAAAACTTGGCAAGTAAGCTGAAATGTGATGCTATAATAATTCTACTCAATTGGTGTAAAGTAACTACCACCAAATTACAGAAAAATATTCCACAGGTATTTGTGCTGACTCAAAACACTTTAATAACAGCTCCAAAAACATGAATTGTCTAGTTTCATTGTATACATCATTCAATATTTTGTTGACTACAATATACAACACACAGGCTTGTTAACACAGCCTCATATTATGATTGTTATAGATTTTAAAGTATTTCACAATGGCGGGGGAGAGTTCTCTTGAATGAAACCACATACAGAAGAGCTGAATGTATTACCTCCCCAAAATATACACTTTGAAAAAATAAGTAATTATGCTTTCTCTTGGGATATAAATTAAGGAATAATGAAACTTATAATTTCAATTTAATATAAATTTGTAGTGATTTATATTTAATTGTAAATCCTTAGTAAACAGACATACTGTTTAAGATTTTAAAAAGAGCATATTAAGGATACTGAACAATCTTACCAAAAGGCTGCCTTGGAAAACCAATGCCAGGAATTGGCGGTCGCATTCCATGAAGAGGAGGGGGAGGCACAGACTGACTGTGAAACGGAGGCATGCCAGGAGGCAAACCTTAAACACAAAAAATAAAAAATACACTGATAAAAGAAAGATTTTTTTGACAAATATCATAGAACAATTATAAACAAAGATTTTTAACATTATTGAATAACTTAAAAAGGCAAGTTACTAACAGTTTATTATTTTTAACTTCCTTCTGTTCTTTTTAAATCTATTATGAATAAACAATGGATTTTAAAGATAGTAAGAAGTAAAAAGATACTGGTATTCTGCTTGAAAATAAAGTTTACTTGGAAGCTTCTATCAGAATAACTTCTTGCTATTATGAAACATAAGACTATAAAATTATCAATATATGTGAACACCAATGTAAATGCAACATATCCAGTGTGTTAAAGGGGGGGGGAGCAATTACAGGCTTTATTTCTACAACTCTTTCAACTACATGCTTAAAATGGTTTCATGAAAACAGTTTTAACACACTCAGTAGAAAGCTTTTTTTTTTTTTAAAATTTTATTATTAATTATTTATCTGATTGTGGCAAAGCACACTAGGGCTATCTGCCCAAGATGATGGATGCCTTTGTGTCTAATATACGATACACATGGGAAAAACGACAAAAACGAATACAGCCAGCCTGTTCGACTGAAATTAAACCCTCTTGAAAGGAAGGTCTTGGCAAATTAAAACAACTTTTTATACAGACCCCACACAGCAAAAGTTACAGTTTGTAAAATATTTACAACGTTTAACTAAAAAGTATGCTTCTTTTTAGTTCCACACTTTTATATGCAAATAGTACTTTTAAAATACAAAAGTGACTCAACTTTTCTTGAAACAGTATTTTCAATTAATAAGTAGAAAAACATTCATTTATCTACAATGAAAAATATGGAATTATAAATTGAACACACAATGAAAAATATTGAATTATAAATTGAACACACAATGAAAAATATTGAATTATAAATTGTTTTTAAAAACATATATTAAATATATAAAAGAAACTTCCAGATGTTACTTTTTCTTTTTTATTACTTAAACTTTATTTTATAACTTAAAAACATTTGAAATAATTTTTAAAATGCATAAATGTCTTACATCGGCCAACAAATTGTCACCAAGCTATGTGGTTTTAGTGCCAGTTATGGATAAACATGATGTAAAAACACACTCATAACACCTATGTTTTCATCTTATGTAACTTGGATTGATTCTCAATAAGCCAAGTTTTGTTTTTATGAAAAAAATGGATATAAATTAACTGTTGTTATATTTTTCTTGCTTTTTGGAGAAAATTATTAAAATTTGGGACCAAGCATTCTACAACACATTAAGCAATGGATTACTTTATATATACATGCTATGCGATTCTACCATAAAAAAAGCTTGAATTAATGGAAATGTTAGTTAAAGGAAAATGGCTCACAAAACAATAAAAGATTTATAGCCAACTTTCATGGTTGATGGGATAACACGTAAAAGCCATATTTTAAATTAATTGAGCAGAAAAAGTATTCGTAAATTCATAATTAAAAATACAGCAAATCATACAAAATGTTGAACTTGTTTTTAAAAACAGAAAAAATAAATAAAAGAAATTTACTGATACAGACTATTTTTCCATTTTTATAACTAACTTAAAATCAAGACATATGGAAACAATTTTAAAAAAACTATCACACAAACAACAGCTGCTCATTTTACACTACTACATTAGGTGATTATTACATTATGAAATTAGTATTTATTGTTAATGATAGCTAATCATCTTATTTTCAGTGAAAATGTTTAAGCACAACTTTGTGGATCATGTTTATTAAGATTTTTTTAAAAAACTGATTAAAGTCTAACAAATCTTTTAATAATATCAATTTATCAAACTACAGACCACATAACACATCAGATTTCTTTTACAGACTTTTTCTATCCAGCACTGAAACTTTTTTTTTAAATTATAAATTTTATTTTAGGAAACTTTGTAAGTACAAGCTTATAATCAACTCTTAAAGATATAAAATACAAAACTGTCTTTACACAAATAACCTATATATAAAATCTCTGACACTTAATAAAGTCACTGTTTTACAAAATTAATATCACCAGTTATAGTAACCAAATAATAAAAAGTTTCACCGGAGTCTTCGCAAATGTCATGGTCAAAGGACAATAACAGGTAAATACAAATGGCTCTAACAGGCTAGGGTCTGATTGTCAAACTATGGCAGTGACTGATTAACTGGGATAGTGATGAATAAAATACATGCATGCCCTAAACTGCTTCCAACAGTCTACTCACTAGTCTTCATCTGTAGAAGGATGGATGGGCAGCATCCAATTTAAGTAAATAAATAAATTAATTAAAAAGACTTGCTTAACCAATATGATTTTTTTAAGAAGCCCCAAAAGAAGCTGCTGTGAAACTAGAAATCTCACAATCTACATTAACCTGATGGGAATACGTCCAGAAAATGCAAGAGGAGGGGGGGGGATAGTTATCAACTCAAAAAATGAAGATGCTTAAATGACTTCGAAAACTTCCACAGATTTCTTATCAAAATGGGATACAGAACTGAAAAGTGGGAAGATTTTCGTATACACAAATTCTATTCTTGACTGTGGATCAAGGAATCATTAAAGATTTCAAACATCACTATGCTATTATTGTGAAGGAGATGATTCATAAAATTAATAGAAACAAGATTACAAGCACATCAAAGAAAATTACCAAATCAATGTTTTTAGAATTCTTTGTACATATTTAACAATATACGGCAATCTATTTGTGAAAAACAATAAAAATAAAAAATTCTGATTATCAGCATCTCCCGAAAAGTATTCACAAGGCATTGCACTATATCACCATAATAGTTACGTGGTTACCCAGGTATGCATGCATGTAGATCTCTAAATTCGACGTCCTTTTTCTGATTACTGTTTGTTCTTGCACAAAGTACACCCCTTTTTTTTTTCTTACAACAAAGTGTAATGGGACTGCGGGTTTGCCAGCTGATGAAAAAGAAACTGTTGCACTTCTACAGAAATATGGCAGTTTGCTTAACAGTAAAGAATACAAAAATTCACATTCCAGGAAGTTGTACTTTTTAAATGAACAAATTTTATGGAAATGCAATAAAAAAGTTGCAAGCAAACTATTAGAATGTGAAATGTTGAATTTGTGAATTGAACACAATGTAATCTATTCTTAACACATAACTGCAGAGCGGGTCAATTTGACTGAAACCAATATTTAATCATCACCACACAAAAAGTATTAATTGAAAAAAAATTCCTTTTCTGACTTTAAATAATTTGCAGTAAACAGCAACTTACCGAATAGGGAAATCTGTAACATAAATAAATGTCTGATTATTAACACTTACACCTAGAACCGGGAAGTTGGTCAATTTGACCCGTAAGAAATGTTTATGCCTAAATGATGAAAAACAGATGCATTTTCTCGGAAGTAACTGTAAAGTATATCTGCCTCACCCCCGAATTCTTCAAATGGACTGCAGCAGGAGAGAAATAGTGTAGGTTTTCAGTCAAGGTCAAAATATTTAATTCAAAATATGAAATACGTTCAAATGCAGTGGAAAATTACAATGAATATTTCGAAAGATTTTCTTAAGTTGCTTTTCTGTATTTAGTAGAAGGATTGATATGATGTAATGATGTCATCCAAGACTGTTCAACACCGTTCAGGAAGCTTTGAAATACTTACTACAATTATCTGAAAATGATTCAGAAGATGATGATAATGATGACAGTGTTTCGATTTTGAGTAGCGAGGATGCATACCTGCCTGCTATTGAAGAAAATTCAAATTCAAATGAAGAAAATGAAAGTGATGAGGATCTGGCAGTGCCTCAACATTCGCTAGACCTTCTCATTGCAATGATATTGATAATTTATTATATAAAAAAGAAAAATAAATTCTAAAATAAGACGCATGCACTCAAGGAAATCCGAAAAAGAAATTAGCAGTAACATTCAAAGTTGGAAATAATGAAGTTGGCAAAGATGGGATAGTTTGGAATGTCGTACAATTAGGAACAAATGATAAAGAAAGAAAATCAAAGCAAAATGTTTTGAAGGAAGTTGGGGGCCTGACACTACATGCTAAACAAGGGTTCGTACACATTTCTGCACACAGAAATTAAGGACTTTAAAGGACCAATAATGGAAAAAAAAATAATAAATAAAAAAAATAAGGACATATCAGCAAATGGGAACTGAATAAATTCAATTAAAAATATTATTCTATGCCCTGAATTTCACTTTTGTAATACCATATAAAAAATAAAATAGATCCCTAAGTAGTATGCATTATTACTAAACATGAATTAACATAATTATTAATAAGTTTGAGAATAAAATAAACTACATGCAGTTTACGAAGTAGCATTAAATATTTTACACTTATAATAGGTTGGACATATTTGAAAGAAGATAAATGACATTTATGTTTTTCTAATAGTTAGCTTCATGTTGATTTTTTTATGTCTCATTTTGTCACATACTTGGTCAGTCTAGAGCAGAGGTTCTCAACCAGTGGTACACATACATATACCACTGGTGGTAGGCAAGAAAAAAATAGGTGGTACATAAAGGAAAAGTATTTTTTAATTGTTTATTTCAAAAATTAAAACCCCAACATCCTGTTTGAGTTTTTTCTCTAACACTCATAAATTTATGCGATCTGAGCTTTTTTCAAGAGTGGTGGTGGTAGTAGTACTTTGTAGTGGTGGTACTAAGAAGGTTTTCAATTTTTGTTTAGATGGTACACATTAGTGAAAAGATTGAGAACTGCTGGTCTAGAGGTTTAGTAAATAGCAGGTAGATTTTATGTCAAATGGCATAGGTTAAAATAAGAAGTAAGATCATAATCAGCATCATTCATAACAAAAGACTGAATGTTATCACCGCTGCTGCTTGTCTAAAGAGGGACCTGCTGATTAGAACTAAACCTGAAAGGCCTGATATAGGCACGGTTGGCAAGTGTTGAAAGTTGGCTCTGTTTGATGCAGGTTGGCTCTGTTTGGTGATA